TTTATAACTAGATGAAGGACCCGCATATATGCGGGTTTCTGATTTATTTTTTTTATAAACCTATAGAAAATAAAATATTTAATTGTGGTGAACAAAATTAGATCATCCGTTAACATAACTAAAATCAAAGTAAGAACGTTACTACAAAACCATTGATCGAGAAGAATATCATTTATTTATTAAATTTTGTGTTTTTGTTATTTGATTTACAATTAAATTTTATCACATCTTTTGAAATTATTTCTTAGTCCAATTTAACGTTGGTAAATTTTTTTACTTTTAATCTTATTTTACTATTCAAATATCTACTTTAAAAATGTTGATGGATAATTTTTCATATTTATATTTGAACTATTTTTCTCTTGAATATTTTATAACTTGCAAAAATCAAAGACGAAAAGACTAAAGACAAAATTAAATAACTCCATTTAAATAATAATATGAAATTGAAAAAGTTATTACAAAATCATTTATATAGAAGTCTGTAAAATATGAAAAATAAAAATTGAGGACCTTCGGGCGATATCTTCAGAGCGGCTGCTACAGTAAAAAATCTCCGTTTTGCTTGGTTGGTCCGGCGGTCGGTGGCTCCTTTAGCACTGAAGCCGGATCTTGTAGTTTATAGACTTTATGCTTTAGTTTCTCGGTGGATTTACGGTCTAGATCCGGTATGTGAGTTTGTTCGTGGTGGGACTTCAGATCGCGTTTCGGTGAGGGTTTGTTTGTGGTCAAGCTCTACCTAGGTCTCCTATGGGGTTTTGTGGTTGTTTCGTTTCTTGTCGTCGGGGCTGTGTTCTCGGTTCGGTTTGACAGGGTTCGGGCCCTTCCTCCGCTTGCTAAGTTCTAGGTTTTCTTGCTTGATCTGGTTTGTATTGGTTTCATGCAGCTGTCTCTTCCCGATTCGACGTCACTCTTGGCTGGAGCTTGTCTCGGGCGGTGGGGTTTTGATCTTGTGGAGTTGTTTGACCTATAGTTGTGGAGTGTTGTGTTTTAGTCTTGTGTAAGGTTTATATGAGCTAGAGTTCCTTTGGTAGAAGTGATGTGCTAGTTTTTTCCCCCAGGCGATTGTAGTGGCTATGCGTTTTTTGGGTTGCAGAGTTTGGTTTGGATTCGGCGGTCAGATTATTATTGCTTTGGCGTCGTTGTCGTCTCTGTTTACCGATGTCTTTGGTAAGGTTACTTGATCGTTGGTTCTTTGCTATGTGGCCTTTTTCCCCTGTATTCTCGTCCGCTATTTCTGTTTGCTGGTTAAAGTGTTTCTAGAGCCGTGTTTTGGTCGTCTGAGCTTCGTCTTGGTGTGCCTCAAGGTTTAGGTTCTGTTCATTACTTATGTTTATTGGCTCAGATTTGACTACTTCTTGATCTTTGGATTCGAGTGTGGGTGTGCATTTGGTTCTTTGGCTTGAGTTTGGGGTGATGACTTTGCTTTCCTCTTTAATAAAATACTCTTTCTTCTCCGGTTTAGTATTCTGTATCTCTTGGCCAAAGATTTCTCGATGTTTAT